CGCTGACGTGTTTCTTGAGCGGGTGCTTGCGAAATCGGGCCTCTACATCGGGAATGACGTGTTTTGATTAGCTGCTTGCTGCGATGCGACTGTACGCCAGCTGGGGCGACTTAAACCCTGTGCTCGTAATGGGCAGCTCGGTGTGGCTGGACCCTCGTCATGCAGGCCGGAAAAGCTCGTGGGAAAACAATGGGCGCGGTGCACCTGCAGGGAAGCCAGGGCCACAGTCGCAGCCAATGTTTTCCTTTTCGGTCTCAACATCATCTCCCGGCGGCACGACGACCGGCGTGTTGTGGTTATCGCCGCAACGGGCTGTCGGTGCCGATCGCACGTGCATACGAGTGCACCTCCACAGAGCTTTTGCGCACCCCGCAGTGGCGCCCCGACTCGTCGTTCTGGCCATCGAGGTCGCAGGACTGTTGGAGCGCAGAGGCCATCCGAGGCGTCCGGCTCCTCTCCCGCTGCCGAGCACGGCTCGCACCTCCCCACCCCACCTGCGTAGTGTCGATGGCCATCTCCCCGACCTTAGCGACGTGCTCACCGAGCGCCGGCAAGGCAGCCCCGCATGCCAGTCGCTTGGACAACTGACGAGCTACTGGTAGCGGGCACGGCCATATTGGAGGGACGACTGTATAGCGCCATACGGGGAGGGTTGCAGAAGCTGCCTTCAGCTTGGTATGCTTTCGGCTGCTCCGATCTGCTCCGACCTGCTGGGGTTGCAGAGTGCAGGACGGACACGTGGCCACAACAGTGGCTAGCGCGCACGTCGGTGGCAGGTGTGCCATGTCCAACCGCAGGCGACTGAACCTCGTGGTCTACGGCGCCTCGCCCAAGGTCTGGCTCTCGTTAGACCCGTCACCGGCCACCCCGCCCGCGGGCCGCTTTCGCTCCCGGCACGGCTTGGCACACCGCCGAAACCGCAAACACGCCTGCGACGCGGAGGAGCCCAACGACTTTGTGTCCCAGCGGTCGGAGGCGGATGCGCAAGCGCTCGTCCAGCAGCTGGTTCGCGTCCGGGCCCTCGGCACCCCGCCAGCCTTGAGCGCTGGCACGGCGGTGGTGGGGCATGCTATCGATCGCATGGCAGCGCGCCGTCGGGGGCGCTGGGCCTCCTGGTTGTTCGCTCTGCGGGGCAGGAACAATAATTACCTTTCGTGCTGTTGAAAAAAATGCGTGCACAAAAAATCTTACAGTTTCGAGTCAGCTTCCTTCGGATGCCCAGACACATGAGTGGGGGACACCATGCAATCTTTCCGTCAAACGAATCCGCGCAGCGGTTGCAAAGCAAAGCCGGCGTTTCTTAGACTTCAGTGGGCCCCGTGTTGTGCTTCCGGTACTACAGTCCTTCTTACAACGAAATGGTGGCAAAACAACATATCAGTGCCTACGAATTCCCACGACTTCGTGTTCCCGCATCTCGGGTGCTCTGCAGTGCCTGAGGGTGAGGACATGGCTCGGACGCCTGCCAGTCCCTGGTCCTCTTCGTTTGCTCGCCTGCTCTCAAGCTCCTGCTGCTGTTGCAAAGCAGCATACTAGTACCAGCGGTTTCTGCACAGCCGGCTTCGTTTTGTTGATCCGGGTTTTGGGCACGGATTTCCCGCAGGGGGCGCGCGGGTTTTAGGTTGAGGCTTTAAGGTTGGGGCGTATGGGTTCATACTCTATCAGGTGTTTTAATGCAGGGCCCGCAGGGCTTGTTCCTCTTTCATCGGCGAAGAAAAAATCAATGCCGAATCTTATAACTTATTTGCTGCAGGCGGTATGTCTTTTGGTTTGAAAACAGGTGGCACTGTGGCATGGCCATTGACCATAGATGGGACAGAGGGACCCGAGAGCATGTCGGGCTCGTTGACCGGGCTTCGTCGAAACCGGGCCACTTCATTCATGGCATGCCTCTTGGCAGCAAGAGCTTCTCGTTCAAAAGAAAGCCAATATGTCATGATCCTAGAAACAACATGTTTGCTGCTGGAGGACACGGGGCAACCCTGCGCCAATCAGCAGCTGGGACCAGCAATTCAGTCTTGCCTTCCAGCAGATTGAAGCAAGACCTTTGTTAGCACAGCAAGGTTTGGCGCAGTTGGAACGCGGAGGTGCTTCGCAGAGTCAACATGTGCGCCGAAGTGGAGGGAGTCGTGCCATGGTAATGAGAGGATGGGACATGCCACGCCCCAACACGATGCCGCCGGGTGAGGCATTGCAACATGCTAGACAGGAGTCGTGGACGGTGCAATGTTTTCAGCATGTCTGGAAAGGCCTGCCAGCGGCTGCGGCGGCAGCTGCAGCAGGGGACTTGTTCTCAACAGCATGCGGCATGCTGTGATGGTGGAGTTTGCAGCAACTGCCAGGGAAGCGCAGCAACAGTCGGAATCTATGCGCTTGGATGCTGCGTTGGGCTTGGAAAGTGTGCCTGCGCGGGTTGCGATCCAAGCGTAGTTTGTGGCTGCTTGCATTGAGTGGCGCTGGCAAGCTGTTTCCAGCAAGCGGCAAGCGCCAGTTTAGATTGAAGCGATCCTGTCGAGCAATGGATGGCGGGCGCTGTTTGGCCTTGGCTTCTCCTCCTGCCACATGCCAAAGGTATGTTGGCCGATCCAAAACCGCAGCCATGCCTTACTTTTGTCATGTCTCGTCGGGCCTTAATGCAGGAATACCTGCGTGTCGCACACATCGATCCAAGGATGTTGGGATACCGTTGCACTTTTCTGGCTTGCTGAACTTGTCGCCCCTTGGTTGCCGAATGCAGCGGATTTGGGCTTGGCATTTAAAGGCTTGGACATTTCACGATTGCGAATCTTCGGGCTACGGCAGCTTTACAGTCAAGAAGGAGCCTTTATTACCTTTCACTCTTTTGCAGAGGAGAGTCACATGGGACGGGTGTTGTACCGTCCATTGAAGGACATGTGAAGCTTTGCCAATCATCCGTTTTGGTGGCTGAAAAGCATGTCATGCACAGCTTGTCGAAAGATGTGTGATACTGCACGATTAGCTGAGCTGACTGAGGCTACATGCCAAGTTCTTTGTCCTCCGGCCACCGCCGGAGCTTCGGCAGCTACGGGGCCGGGCCTTGGAGTCCTGCACTCAGAGCCTCTTTGCCAGGCCCGAGGCCCCACAGCTGGAGCTGGCTTTCCTGCACCTCTCCAGGTGTGAATACTTCGGACACATGCGCCTTGACGCATTGCGTGTGGTACCACTGCTCGAATGGAAGGGACGAGCGAATGATCCAGGTACAGCTTCGAGTACATGTACACTGACTTTTTCGAGCTTTGGCTTAATTTGGGCGGTGCGTTCTGCAGTCGCTCCGTATCGAGTGCCCAGGAGATGAACCGACAGTTCCTTGCCAATTCGGCAGAGGAAGCGGACTTCGTGGTGCTCGAGCATTGCGTCACGTATGCGTACCATGTCCTTAGCTCAATCCTCAGATGGATTTCGGCGCACGACCTTATGCCAACATATGCGATATAATAAAATCTATCAAGCTTGGACCTTGCGTGTGTTTGCTTTGCTCTTACCTTTCCTGTAGCGCATGCAACCCTTGCACACTCAGGGTATGGAGCCGGATTCAACACAGTGAAGCTGACATGGGAAGCATTGAGGATAGCGCAGGAGATGTGCCCCCCATTTCTTCCACGTGTCCCGAGTGTTTCGAGTTGCTCGCTCACCTGAGCGCGGATAGGAATCCTACCTTTTGCCGTTGATCCATTGGGCCGAGACCACGCCGGCTTACCAGAAGACACAGGGCAGGTCGGCTGGTCGGCTCAATGTGCACATGTGTTTGTATAAAATACAGGATCAGTACATGCTTTCATACTACTCGTACTTACCTAACTTACCGACCTACTTACCTAACTACTCTACCTACCTACCTACCTACCTACCTACCTACCTGCATGCCTGCCTACCTACCTACCTACCTACCTACCTACCCATACCTACCTACTTACCGACCAACCGACCGACCTACCTACCTAGCTCGGTGCAGGCAGGGGCAGGCAGACGGGTAGACGGGCACTGAGGCGGTGGCAGGGCGGGGGTCCGGCATGGGCAGCAGGCATGCATACATAATTCAGATACATATATATGTACAGAAAATGCACACACAAACATACATACACACACACACATATACATACATACATACATACATACATGCATACATACATACATACAGACATACAGGCATACATTCATACAGACATACATACATACATGCATACATACATACATACATACACATTTACATATACATACACATATACTTATACATATACATGTACATGTACATGTGCATATACATATACATATACATATACACATACATGTGCATATACATATACATATACATATACATATACATATACATATACAGACATACATACATACATGCATGCATGCATACATATATATATATTTATATACACACACAGAGACACATACACATACACATATACAATGCTTTCCGAATAACCAGGTATGCCGTTAGTTCAACCAGTCGCGCATGTCAAGACGATCCATTCCTGGAAGGAATTTCGTCATCGTTTTCGCCATGGACAAGGGGCGAGTTGATTACCCGATGGCATCAAGGGCCACCCAGCACTGGCATGCCATTACAACTGCTGCTTGGTGTAAAACCCTCAACACATCACCTCTCCGATTCCTTGAGCTGCCTGACAACAATCGTGCACCTCCTGTGTTGCTTGCCAGATAAGGTTGGAAATGGCACGCTTGGATCTCAGACACGCCCGTGGCACCGGCCAGTGAGCAGCTTCTTGTATGGCGTACGGCTTGCGGTTGTTGCAAGGACTTGGATGAAGAGGACATTCAGAATCTAAGTGATGGACGAAGGCTACCTGTGCACACCACGATGCACCTTCGCAGGAACCAGCCGTGGTTGCGGCCGGAATCGGACTCAGCACGTGATCCTTGCAAAGGCCGGAGCAGTACGTCGAAGAGGTGGGGCCCCAGGAAGTAAGCCAAGGGGAATATAGGAATCTAGGGCCCTACAACGAGCTGTTTCCCGTTTCCATGAGGCGCCTCGTTTACTACGAGCAGGACGAAGGGTTGCCAGAGCCGTCGCTCCACATGCTGTGCTGTGTCTCGTGTCGGACTTTCCTGCGGAGACCTAATGCAGTGAAAGATGTGCGGCTTTCGTTGCTTGTTTTAACAGCATGCAGTCATCCGAAGTTCCTGTGGAGGACGTTGTGGTGCCCGTGCCGACGAGCTTTGAGTGGACACCGGAGGCCCAGCAGACTGAAGATCGGCACCTTCTTGTGTTTTACGCGGCATCTCCGATACTCGTCTTGTGTGGGGGTGGGGGGGGGAGACACCCTGTGACAGACGGGAAAACACTCGAGTGATGTGAATTGACTGGACTTGAGCAATGAACCCGTTGATACAAGGAACAGCTGTATCCGAAGATCAATCGCGAGCCAGCTTGCTGCATCAGACGATGCAGAGGTGATGCCAAGTGTGTTGTGTTCGCCGTGCGGAGATGGGTTGGGCGTTCTTTTTGCAGGTGCTCGTCATTCCGAAGCCAATTCCTAAGAAGCCATGGAGCGACTTCCTCTTCCGGTCCAAGTTCTGTGGCCTGGTCGCGTGAATCACGCGACTCATTGCTGCGTCAGAGGCACTGCGGGATCATATCCGGTGGGCCGGCTGAGGTTTTGTCCCGGATGGGTTCTCATCCATCTCAGCAAGGCTTTACGAGGCTAGCGCGTGACTCACCAGTGCCGTATGGGCAAAGGTTTAAGGTCTGTGCTAACGTGTGAGCAGGTGTTGTTGCATGGCTGTGTGCCGGTGCTTCTGACCCATGCCTTCCATCCGCTGGCAGCTAAGCGTCTGTCTCTGCCTCCCTCGCTCCATATGTCATGCATGTGTCCGAGGCCCTTTGAAACTCTCATTGATTGGCGGCGGATCGCCGTTTTCCTGCACAACAGCCAGGCACTGCTTATGCGGTCTGAGGCGGTGGAAGCATGCCTGCAGCATGCTTGAGCAGGTGGCCGATGCACCTGCAATCCTGCGCAACATTTCGGAAGAGGAGCTTTTTTTCTCATGACAAAATCTTTCAGCTGTCAGCTTTTTGTGGGAAAGCAGTTCTACTCCGGTGCAGACAGGAGTACCTTTCGATGCACAGGCAGGTAACTCGGGTCCAGCGCCTCCTGAGCCTTGGATCGGCATCAGAGCAAAAGCCGGAAAGCACCTGTTGCGACTTACGAAAGACCGTCCAGAGTCTAGAGTGTTCACAAGACCAAGGAATGTTCATGCCTCTGGGACTGCAGTGCATCAAGATGTTTCAGCCCTGCAGTTCTCTGTTTGTTAGTCATTTTGGTGCTGCATCCTGCTGCACCATGCAAGGATATGCCTTTCTGGATAGCTACAAACATGGAGTTGATGCAGCGCAAGCAAGACCTAGGCTGAACTCAGCAGGCAAAGCATGTGATGGAGCTAGCATGCATTTCATTCCTGCACTGGCAGCGAAGCGGCGCGTGCCTCATGGTCGCTGAAGGGGGAAGTTCCTGCTCAACGGACATGTTCAGCTACTTGCCGCAAGTCGATGATGGCCCAGAAAGCGAGGGACGCTAGTCGAGGCTTTGGTCAGCTGGCAGCGCGTCAGCGAGAGGGTACAGTATGCGGAGACGTGGTCGGTGTGCTGTCGCTGTGGCGATGTCATCCTGTTCATCCCCGATGTTACGGATTTGAGATGTGACAAAGATTTCCCACTGTTTGGCTTGGATTTCGCCGTGATGATGAGGGCGCAGCCATCACACCAGCAACAAACAGAGAGACCCTGGCCGTGGGACTTGGCCGAGTGGCGGCGAGCCGAATCTGAGAAGTCTGTTCTGGAATTTGTGGCTCTGTTTGAAAGAAGGTTTGTCAGAAGGCTGTGAAAGTTGCGAGCTTGCCCTTCGCTGCTGTGGGCAGGGTGAGCCGTTGGAGTCAAGCGCGGAAGCCCATGGAAGCCCCGTGACGAGAACTTCTAAGGCCAGGCTTGCGGATGCCCTCCAGAAGGACATCTGGATTTAGTTGCCAAGCACATGTGCACGCGTTTGTGTTTTCAATCCGAGACTGCAAGATCCAAGAGCGTCCAAGAGCTGGGTGCAGGACGGCCCCGTCAAGCCAGAGCTTTGGTGCCGAGCTTGGTGCAAGTCACTTCTTGTCAGCAGGCTCGCATCGCAGGAAAGTAAGACCGGAATTCTCGCAAGCAAGGATGGATCAGGCTGGACGCAGGTGGCAGGAGCAGCACTCTCTCCGTAATCGTTGTCGCGTGTTTGTTTGTGTCTGTGTGTGTTGTATTTGTGTGTGTGCCTGTGAAACCTTGTTACCAAGGGACTTGCGAAAAAAGATCGCTGGGGCTGCCAGGGATGCCTGCTGGACTGGAACAAACGAAGATGCCAGCATTGCATCTGTGAAGCGAGTCACGACGCTGCTTCGTGTAAGCTAGCCTGAAAGTGCTTTTGCTTGACATTGGCCAAAGAAGTGACGTTAGTCAGAGATGTGAGAATGAAGCTCTTTAGGCCAGTCGGTCCGGGCCCGTTATCCTGAACATGGAGCTTGGCTCTATCCAGATGTATTGGCTATTGGTCGGAGGCTTCCGATGAATGCACGCGTGTCTCTGTGTGCCAGTCATGAGGCTCCAGCTTTATGTAGAAAGCTCCGTGGCCAGAAGGATAAGAGCAACAGATTCTCCAAAGTACTCTCCTACATTCTCCTGCATGAATGCTGAAAGACGATGGGGAAGTGTCTACTTGTGGTCCTCAATCAATGCGACATGGTCGACCATACAACTTGCTTGTGCGATGCTTTCGCCGACTATACAACTGGCGTTGTAGAATGGGTGTAGCATACATGGAGTATGCTCTCCGACTATACAACTGGCGTTGAAGAATGATAGGAGCGCTCCTACTCTACAACTTGCGTTGGAGAATGCTTTAGCATGTGTGAAGAAGTGTGCTGTCCCACATGCCAAACTGATGGCCGGCAATGCAAGCATGCGCGAGAGAGTGGCTGCGGGTTTGCCTGCGAAGCTATCGACCTTCAGCAAAAAGCGATATGGGGGGCTGCGGCGCAGACCTGCGACCTCCCGTATTCGCATATCAAAATCCAAATAAGCAAGAGAAGATGAAAGTAGCTGTGGCTTCGTCCAGAAACAAGCATAGGGGAGAGAGTAGCTGCGGCTTTGCCTGCGAAGTTCTTGACCTTAAAGAAACAGCGATATGAACTCCCATATTCGCATATCAAAACAAGGAAGAAGATTCATAGAGGGAGCGCACCTCTCCACTCGATGTGTACTGCGTGCATGCTCATCACCCTTTCATTTCACCGTCCCTCCTGAAAGTCTCCCTCAGTCATGCAGGCGGCACGAAAACCAGGGGCATGCATCTCGAATCGTTTCTTTTTGCACGTGTGTTCGCCACCCCCTTCATTTCACCGTCCTGTCTATCCAAATTATCTCTCACTCATGCACGCATCACAAAAACCGGATAGCACAAGAACCGGAACGCGTGGGTGCACGTTGCTCATGTTTGAACACGCACACCTGGCAAGCGTGTTGCCCCTTGACAGGGGCAGCTGTGTGTGTACCACCTTGAGACCAAGGGATGCAAAACACAAAGAGCAGGGGGACCGAGGGAGTGCGGAGGGCCTCTGTCCAACGAAGCACTCCTCCGCACTTCAAGAAATTATAACGCACCGTACCTGCACGCACCCGCCCTGGGTCTTCGCGAGGACAGCTGGGGGATGCAAGTGCCAAGCAAATGAAGAATTGAAGAGATGATGCTAGCTTGCTAACCCATGGTATGACTTTGGTTGTATTGAGGGTCCTTGCTTGTTTGTTTGTTTGTTAATGTGTGCCTATGCCCACGTCGACGTCGATCATGCAGGAGGCGAGCCCGCAGCCTCTGTCCAGGCAAGGGATGGCCATCGTTACATCACGCCCTTCCCTGTGCAGATGGCTGTTTGAGCGAGCAAAGACTGCACGAGAACGGTAGGAAGACCTTCGCATCGCAGCCTTTGCGGCCGGCACCACCTGGTGCTGAAGGGGGTCACTTCGTCGCCAGGGTCGTCAGACTGCTGTCAGCAAGCAAGAGAAGGTCTCATCCTCGCCGCTGTCCTTGCCCTGAGGCCCCGCGGCGGCAGCAAAACTTGGAGTGCGTGAAGCCTCCCTTGACATACGAGGCACCGGCGGGGCGTTTGACGCGAATCGCTGCACTACTTCCCTACACAACGCTACGTAGAGCCGCTAGAGAAGATTCAGAGTGGCAGAGCGAGAGAGGGAGAGAGAAAGAGGGGAGACCGGGAGACCGACCGTCGGTGTGAAGCAGTGTTTCCAGTACGACGAGGGCGACAAAGGTTTTCCATGCGGTTTTTGTCAGACCTGCTCTCTCGGAGCTGTTCTGAAAGTGAGTAGAAAAGCGCGCGGGGGAAATCATGAGAGCTTGCCGCTTACACTCCCGCTTTGTTTGCATATTCACCAGGCCATCTCCGCGGCCGCATCACCTCAGCACCGCCTGCCTCCTCCACAGGAGCCAATGCTTCACAACATGAAATGCGAATGCTGCTTCATCATAGGTTGCGCAGGCCATGGTCGAAACCGCATCTACGGCTGTTCCAGGAGGCCAATGCAAAGCCACTGCGTGCTGGACTTGCTCGCCCACACCTTAGACTTAGAAGCGCACAAGCAGCCTTCGAGATCTGAAGCGCGACTTGTGTCTGACAGGATGCGAACCCCCCCTCAGCGTTGCACCGCCCTCGAAAGAACGTGCAAGTCGGCACATCGCCGCTTGCGGACAGAGATCCTAGTCGCAGTGTCGGAAGCAGGGACAGCTTTCATTGAAGCTCATATCTGCAGCCGCGAATTTTCAGCCCGGTTTCAATGCTGCGCGGCTGTGCAGCGCTGATCTTCTTCATCATGAAGAGCCAGTCACGGTGACACACGCTTGAGGCTTGCTATGATCATAATCCTGGTCGACGAACGTGCAGAGCTTTTTCCGCGACACCCTGTAGTCGTGTAGTCCGCAGCAGCCAGCACCTCATGACGTTTCTCGTTACCATGTCGATGTTGGCTTGATGCCCTATCCTTGGCCATATTGCCGGCCTCCCGGCCATCGCCGTGTTGTCTGGGCGCATGTGGCGCCAGCCTTGACCGAAGATTTTTTGGCTTTGAAGGCTTAGCTTCCAAGATGTCGGCAACTGCTCAGGCCGTTCTGGCAGCAACCTTGCTGCGCTTCAATGCGTCCAATGCCTTTGCGGCTCAGCTGCACCTGGCGCGATGCACGATGTAGTAGGATGCAGCTCGGAGCGCAGAGCTCCAGGCCCCTTCTCCTTCACACCCTGGCCGACTGGAGCGACTAAGACCGGCGGCGGTGCCGGCAGTAGTCGAGGCTCAGCCTCAGTTGCGTGTGTAGCAGCGTGGCCGTGGACCAAAGTAGAGTCGGTCAGGAACCCATCAGCGATCCGTTTGTGTCCGGCAAACCAGGTCGAGCTGGAGGCACCGTGGATTCACCCGGGTATCTTGTGCTGCTTGTGCTTCAGTAGCCTGAAGGCACCGATATTGTACAGCACCTTTACGCAGAAGCCAGGAGGAGGCGATGGTGGCCCCACACCACAGGAGCAAGCCCAGGCAGCTTGGCCTGGGCAGCACTTGAATCACTTGTCGCTTGATTGAACCGTCCGACACGCTTGCAGCTGAAAGCCGTGGGAGCCACTATCACCACATACAGACGCGGCAGAACTGCACAGGTCATCGTGTATCGGGCTGCTTTGGCCACCACGGTGCCCGTGGACTGCAGCTTGATCGCTCTCTCTCTCTCGCTCTCTCTCTCTCTCTTGTCGGCCACAGGGCTGTTTCTGCTGGGAGGCGCTGTGCTGGTGTCTGACCTACACTTTGGATTTTTTCATGACGAGTGGCATATCGGTGATCGATGGTTCGATTCAGGCGCAGCATGTAGGGGCAAAGCTTCTGTCATTCTGGGAGCAGATGGGCCAGGCAGCTGCATTGGCCGTGGCTGACGTGAGTGGAAGCATTGCCGCCATAGCCGCGCCCACTGGCTCGAGGCTGGTGGCGGGTCCGCGGCCCAGCCCAGCTCTTGACAAAAAAAGAAGGCGCCGACTCCAAGTACCTGGCAGCTCCGCAGGTGTCCTTTTGCGGCTTCTTGGCAGCATAACTCTCGCTCTGGCTGTGCTGGGGCTGTCCGCGCCAGCTGCTCAGAATCCGCACTTAGCCTTGAGAGCTGGTAGAGATCTCTTCTTCGATCTTTGATTCGCAGGCCGGGGATGGTGGGCGCCGTCGCCGGTCCCTGCTGCCTGGCAGCCTCACTGCAAGATGTCTCTCTGGATCGGGTGAGACTGCACTTGCCAGGTCTTGGTTTGCGCCCGTGAGATCTTCTGGTTCGGCTGGTCTTACAAGGCTACCATCCTCGGACTGCATGGCACTGCCAGACACTCCGAGCTTGCTCAGGTGGATGCGATCTTTAGCCTGATCCTGTTCGCGGGCGTGGCCGGCCTCCGTTTTGCGGCTTCATCGGTGTCCACAAGTGAGGCTGGTTGCTGCTGGTTCTCCGAACGGAAAAAGACGAAGATCGGGCTTTGCAGTTGAGATGGCTCGAGTCTTGCAAGGCCTTGGCCCCAGATACGCCAGTCGCGGGCCTAGTTATTTCAGGCCATGTACTATTGGGCATGTACTATAATATAGGAGTTCAGGAATTGGACACATGGAGACGGCATTGATGGGTTGCAGGTCTTCGAGAGCTGGGATCAGATGCCGACTGTGCCGACCTTGTTCGATGTGCGACCTGTTGGTCCGCCGTTGCTGGTGTCCTTCGGCTGCTACATCAGCCTTTCGGCACCAGCCTGAGGGTGCGAGTTGCTGAGTCCATGTGAGTCCCTGAGGGTGGATGGAGCACACGGTATAGTCGGGTGATTGCCAGCTTTCCGCGTCCACGGCTCGAAGGTCCAAGCTATTTTCACCCGGTAGTTGCAGTGTTAGTGTAGGGTCGGTAGGAGCAGAGCCATGCTCGCCTTGGAGGCCACGATGAATATCTTCTGGGCTTCTGGTTCTCTATCGTTTGATGTGCCCTCACGTGACGAACGCACTGTCACGACAAACCAGATGTTGGCGACCGACAATAGAGAATAGCGTAGTCTCCTGAGGTTTCGAGGTCGATCGTAGTTTCGCCACATGCGCCCCATGAAGAAGCAGAGCCACAAGAAAGAAACACCTGTAGCGAAGTTCCTCCGGAGGAGAAGACTCGAAATGTCGTCCTCCTGATGCCGCAGCTCATCTTGGAAGGAAAGGCCTCGGCCGGGTGAGGGCTGAAAGGGCCGGGGAGGGAGGGCAGGAGCTTTTCAAGCTGCATCAGACCTGGTCGTGGGAGCGGGACGGCATCGCGGAAGTCGTTCTGTCGAGAGCGGTTTCCCATTTTGGCTAGGTGAGGTTCTGATCTGTTCCTCTAATCGACCCCCCCCCCCCGCCTGTCGGTTCCACGCGCAGAAATCCCTCTGCAATCCAGCGAAACTCGGAAGATCTTGCAAGGCAGATGAGCTCGTTAGCAAGTTTGAGGAGGCCAGCAGAGATGGAGCGTCCTGGCAGCATCCTTCACGAGATTTGGCATTCCCACTCTGCCAGGCATACTTAGAGGTGAAAGCGCGCAAGGAGGTGTACCTCGCTGAAGAAGCCGCAGCCCCGCGGCATTCCGGAGTTTTCCGATAGCAGTCTCCGCATCTACGTCGACTCGACGTCTCTTTGCCTACGCCATTTGCGCTATGAGGAGAGCTACTTCCACTACCTGCAGCCGAAGGCCCGGGAGGCCGCAGTGCTAGCCGCCAGCCGTGGGCTCTCCCAGGCACCCGGGCAAAGGAAGGGATTCGAAGGGTTTAGGGTAACTACGGTAACACGGTACGCAAGGGTACGCAACTTAGTAAGTAGTAACGACGTAGTATGTAGTGCCGTTCAGTCTCTCTGTCACTCTGCTCTGTCAGGTGCTGGTGCTGGAGCACCTGGATGGAGACGTGGTGGAGCGTTCTCTTGCCATGAAGGAGGCCAAGCGGATTGGCAAGACCACTCGACTTAAGGACAAACGTCGGCCACCAGTTTGTAGACAGAGCCCAAAGTTTGAAAGAGGCAGGCCCGCAGCAAGCATTGTTCGCTTCTTGCCAGGGATTGGAGGAGATGTATGGCAAAGGCCCGGGTGGTTGTTGCTGGCCGTCAGTATCCGACGTCCTGAGTCTACTTCAGAACAAACTGCACAGGAAGTTTCTACATGAGCTTGGACAAGTGGGAATGCCAACGAGATCTTGGCGAGTTTCAGACAGGGCAATAAATCTGCGGCTCATTTCAGCACGCTCCATTGCAACCGCATGTAGCTCTGCGTCACAGTGTTTGCCAAAACATCTTAAATCCCTCATGCGCCCGCATGTGCCGCACGGCAAAGGCACGTCCAAGAGCTCACACAATGCCTGGGTGAAGCCAAGGAGATATCGAGTTTTTCTTTCCACACCTGGATGCCTTGCCAGTGGAGCGCACGCTTGCAGTCACTGCTCTTAACGGAGCCTTTTTGGGCCGTAGAACTTACGACGTTCCTCTTGAAATGTCAAGGCACCATGGTCGTCTCAATCCAAGGTCGTTAAGCCCGATGCCGTCCAGCAGGGCGAAAAGGGCGGGAAGACTGCAGAGCAAGTGGTCGAGGATGTACCAGTTGCCAGCACTGAGCACGCGAGAGCGAGTCTTCGAAACGCGTACCGAGACTGTCTGCGAGGACGAAGCTGCACAGCTAGGGCTGTTCGTGGTCTCGAAGCAGCGCCTTGCTTTCACAGTGTGATGGGGATGGCCGGGAGAATGGCGAAGCATGCTAGCTAACACTGCAACACGCAAACAGTGAATATCTGGCGCTTCTGACGGACGAAAGCCGCTGACAGCGTGAACCTATATGCCGACCATAAGGACTTGCAGTATGGAGATTTTGTTGCACATATCCTCCGAAGTCGAGTTATTCAGTCATGTAACGGAAAGGTTTCCCCATTACGAGGCTGCATTCGCCGGATGAGGCACAAGCGAAGCTCATCTGTCAGGACTGCGGGTGGGGACTGCAGTCATTCAGGGAAAACGGGGAGCAATCACGATCGAAATCCGCGAAGTCGGTCAATATATGTCATCGATGGACTGTCAAAACATTAAGTGCTGAGCGAGAGTCCTTCGGTTTGTGTCAGCGTAACAAGGAGAACCAGCAACCGCAGAAGCGAAGCCATTCGACACCTCAGGAGTATGATGGGAGCGCAGATCATACCAATGCCGTGGCGGTGCCAACCCTCTCCTGACATGGTCATTGTTTCAGGGCTGCTAAATATCAGGTCTTTGCTCATGGCACGTTGACACAGGATTGTGCCCCTAAGTCATGGGGCCTTCGTGGTTGGAGAGGGTAAGACTTTTTCGTCTTGTTTGGAGCAGTACTTCATGTTCCACCTCGGTGACACCTGTACCAGGCGGTGATGGCCGAGCCCGGTTGCCTTGTCATGTGCATTGAGGGCAGAGGTGCTATTGGCAAGATGCAGCTTCCCAACTGCAATTTCAGCTAGTTTGACATTTTTGATCGCGGCCGGCAATAAAGGCAGGGTAGTTTGAATGCCAGACTGCCAGACCGGCTTTGGAATCAGTTTCCTGCTGCCAAGGCTGATTTGTGGGCCATCGCACTCTGGAGTGGCCCGTGAGCGTGCTCCAACCACAATCCGTGCGCTTTGGGGCACTGATGGCACCAGCAACGCCATGTATGCTAGCATCAACATGGAAGCAGCAGACAAGGAGTCCGTCTGCTTTGAATCAAGGTGGGGCCTCGGCTTACGTGCATGCGTGGCAGGAGATCAAAGCCTTCTTCCCAGACGGCGCGCTGAAGCTGGAGCGCACACTCTGCATTGTCAAACCCGATGCTATTGCGAATCTGGCCGGGTTTCGTCAAAAGCTGCACTGACTAAAGTAGGCACGGTGAAGGTGGAATGGAGATCGGTATCCGAGTAGTTGATGAGCCACTCGAATTTCTTAGCCATGGAGTTGCATTCCTGGTTTCAGAGCCTGAGTGTCCAAGTTTAGGATGGCCTTGATCATCACTCATGATTTCGATTTCTGTGGTCAGGTGGCTATCAAGACTGAGATCGAAGCGGCAGGATTCACGGTCCTCAAGGAGAAGCAGACGACGCTAAGCGAAGAGCGGGCCAAGGAGTTCTACAGGACCTGGCATCCAACAGCTCCTAGCTTCCCACATGCAGGCCTTAGGACACGGGAGGTACTTGATTGATTTAATTGAATGTGGCAGGAGCAGCAAGGGCGACCCCTCCTTTGCAGCCGTGGTTAAGGAATCCTGCAGCGGGCCTTGCTGTGCCATGGTGCTTTGCCGCGTCGAAGCCGTGACGGTCCTGAAGCAGCTGATGGGGAATGCATCGGTGAAGGAGGCGAAGAAGTCGCGCCCAGGCTCCCTGCGTGCCCGCTTCGGCAGGGATGGACAACGCAATGCCGTCCATGGCAGCGAGTCTTTGAAGGATGCTGTGCAGGAGATCCGTTTCTTCTTCCCAGAGATGGGAGTCGACCCCCTGCCTGACGACAATGAGGTGAGGGACTTTGTCTTCCGCAAGTCCGCGCGTGCCTCTATGGACCTACAGACCCTTTCTGATGCCCAGGCAACTGACTTCGAGCTTGACCCTACCATGCAGCAGCTGATCTCCAATGGCCTTATCGGCTTGTGCAAGGTGAAGCCACAGGGCCTGGCGGCTGTTAAGTGGTTGGCCAACTGGCTTAGCGAAAACAATCCGAACAATCAGGCACCCAAAGCCGCGTTTGATCCACCAACGCGCACCAGTCAGTATGTGGAGTCGGGAGTGAATCAGGACGGCATGGCCTTCGTCGTCGAGGCACCTGCGCCCGAGCCGCCGTCAAAGCCCATCGTCGAAGTTACAGAGGAAGATCTGAAGAAGGAGCCAGGGGAGAGCGACTTGAAGACGCCGCCCTTCGTTGTTTTTGTGGCTGGTGGCCCTGGCTGTGGCAAGGGCACTCAGTGCACCAGGATCAAGGACGAGTTCAACTTGATCCACCTGAGCACGGGAGACCTCATGCGCGCAGAGGTAAAGGCTGGATCATTTCTTGGTGGTGAGATCGAGAAACACATGTCTGCGGGCACTTTGGTCCCAGACGACATTGTCTTACAGCTGCTGAAAAAGGCGATGATCAAGAACCAAGACACAAACAGGTTTCTGTTGGACGGTTTCCCTCGTGCAGTTGAACAAGCCCAGCGCTTCGAGCGCGAGATCGCAGAGGTCTCGTTTATGCTCTACTTGGAGGCCAGCCATGAAACGATGATGGATCGCATCAAAGGCCGAGCTGCCACCAACCCAGGCCGAGTCGACGACAACGACGAGACGGTGCGCAAGCGCCTCGAGGTCTTCGACCAGCAGACTCTTCCCCTGTGCAACTACTATGGCCCCATCGGCAAGCTGCGCAAGGCCAACGCAGAAAAGGCGCCGGATGAGGTCTTTGCAGAGGTGAAGCGCTACTTCAGCTGCCGCTTCCTCTACTTGCTGGGCCCTCCAGGGGCACCTGTCGAGCATATGGCGGACAAGCTGGAAAAGCAGTACGGTTACTCGGCCATCAATCTAACGACGCTGCTGAAAAGCTATGCCGACTCCAACGAGGCAGATGCACCGGCCGTGAGGAAAGCCATGCTGGCAGGAAAGCCTGTAGATGCCTCCATTGCTTGCCCTCTCATTCTGTCGGAGATCTACCGAGACATGGCCCTAGGAGTACAAAACTTTGTCTTGTCCGACTTCCCTCAGAGCCTGAAGCAAGCCCAATTCCTAGAGTACCGTGTCTCCAGCATCACCAGAACTTTGGTATTGGACTTTTCTCGTGCAGATGCCGCTGATCTCGCTGCGACCATGAGCAGCAAGGACACCCTTGAGTTGGAGCTTCGGTCCAACTACTTCTTTGGGCCTGAGGCGTCGGAGATGCTCACGGCTTTGAAGGCAGAGCGCATCCCGTACAGCTTGAGCGAGATGCAAACGTGCAGTGTGGTAGATGGCACCTGGAAGAAGCTGAGTGAGCAAGTCTTGCCATCCCTAACCGTGGTGTTGGGACTACCAGGGAGCGGCACAGATGTACTGGCCAATCTCTTGGCCCAAAGCTCCCCGAATTTCGAGGCAGTTGATTGCGACGAGCTCTTGGACAAGGAGCTCGAGCGTCAGACCGAAATGGGGTTGGCGATGCATAACATGCTTGCAAAGGGCCAGGTCGTCCCATTATCGATGACGCTCGAACTGCTGAAGGGTGTGGCTAACCTGACTTGCTCCGAGTGCCTCATCATCCAGAACTGCCCGCAGTACGTGGACCAAATTGAGCTCATCGAGCGAGATTTCCGCATCAACAAAGTCTACTACATCCAGGGTAGTGAGGCCGCCGAGAAGTCATGGGCTGATAGCTTTGCCATGAAGGAGGACAGTGCAACAGCGGCCAAGCGCTTCAGCGAGCTGCAAAGGCGGTTGCCGCCGATGGTGGCTCACTTCAGCCGTCTTGGCCTGCTCGAGAAGTTCGAGGTTTCCGAAACTCCCAGCCAAGAGAGACTCCAGAGCCTTATCGCCAAGTCCAGGATGCCCCAGTTTGCCGTTGTCAGCAGCTTGTCGCCGGTCCTAGGCGCAAAGAAGGCGCAGGAGCTCTGCGACGCCTACGGTGGCAGCCCCATCACATCCAAGAGCCTAGCGGAGTTCGCGGGCAAAGCCGACGCAGAAGCCAGTAGCTCTGATGAAGTTACCATGCTGAAGGCCTTCGCGCAGGGACGAGCCGAACCTTTCCTGGTTCTGCAGGACTGCCCCAGTGTCGACTCCCAGGCACACGCCTTCTTGGAAGCCTTCGGCGCACCACGAGCAGTCATCTATCTTGAGCTGCATGGCAGCTTCAGGCTTACATTCTGTTCCTGTTTTCTAGGATGCTTGTCCTGTCAGCGGTTGCATCGCCGGGAGCCGCTCCCCGAACCAAGGTGCGATGATGAGTTCCTCGATGAGGAATACAGAGGCTTGTGGTGTCATGTCCATGCTTGAAGACATTGACGATCGACTTAGAAAATGGAAGCATCTTGGGTGCAGCTCATGCAATGCATGATGGAGTTACTGGTGCCGTTCGTTAAACCCGCATGTCGAGGTAACCCCAATTTAAGCAGTCACACAGGGCGAAACCTGCCGAAAGAAATGAGAGTGGGATGAGTTACGAGGAACCCATGACCCGGTACGTGGTCAAAATCAGCCTTGCCTCCAGAGCTCAGGGCCCATAACTAAGCTATGAGGACCTGGCCAAGAGTTGGATCTGCAGGTCTGCACGAGGACGAGGAGATCGATGGCGAGCAGCTCGCTGAGAAGATGGCGCAGCAACGGGCCACAATGGAAGGCACCATGAAGGCCAGCGTCCAGGGAACACGAGTCGCACGCAGTCAGTTGAACCACACAGTAAATCTCGAGCTTTGATGCACTTCTGACTGCCGGGGCCCTCGGCTGCAGCTAGATCGTGCTTTTGCTAGCGACACTTAGAGCCCAGCTGCAAGAAACATACGTGTCTGTGCATGCATGCATCATAGCTAAGTACTGTGGAGTTTCATAGGAGCTGGGCCCTACCGCAGTTTTATGTCCAGTGACTCGACCAGACTTCGTGAAGAGACATTTGAATTCATTGCAGGTGTTCAAGGAGCTGTGCCCAGGACTCACCGACGCATCCTGAGTGTTCCGGCACTTGGAGTCGCAGACAAAAATAATGCTGACTAGCCGTGGTAGGAAGCTACCTGGAGATTGACAAAAAGATGCGGGAGAGTCCCTCGGACGTCGCTGCCGTGATTCAGCAAAAGCTGATGCCGAAACCAAGTTGCAAGACATGACGCAGGCCCAAATACTGTAGGCCAATAAATGCCGTATAACGGTCCATGGAAGACTGAAGCTTGGAGAGCAAAAACCCAAATACCAGGCAACATTTATGCGAGCAGTTGTTCTGTGGGGATCGCCTGCATGACTCACACTTCGTGTCCGAACAAGGACAGTTTACGTCATCCTTTCACCGGGCACGGAGCCAGAATTTGGCAATCTCGTGGCTGAGACGATTTGCGCCATGAGCACCGCAGGTGGCTTAGAGGCTGGCACTCTTTCGTGTGGATCACTGCTTGCCAAGCGGGTCCATCATGCAGCTGTGTTGCGGTCATCTGGCGTTTGCAAGTGTTTTCTGGAATTGTGAAGGATGCCCTACCGTCCAAGTACACAATCTTGGATGCCATGGCGATTTGCAAGAGAGCCTGGGCCGGCGATTTGGACTTCTGCGCTCTTCAAGGGTCGACAATTCTGCACAAGATTTGTTACGACTTGTGTTATTGACTTGTCGATTTGCGTGGGCATTGGAATGCTCTGAGCCCTCCGTCGGATTCCAGGCAGCGGCCACAGTCCAGCTGTAGAGGATGCCATCGCCAAGGCTCGTCGGAGTTTTCATAGGACAGTGCCAGCAGAAGCACACCCCCCAGAAGCACAGGCGTCATTCACAGCAGAAACTCCCGAGACTTGGCTGCACATTCCACCCGATGTGCAAACCCCCACTAAGATCCATGCGACAGTTGTCCTGCCACTGTCTGCAAGGACAGCTTGCCTGTGAAGGTATGGGTTCTGGGCCCAGCTTCTTTTTGAAACAGGGTAGTGCTCGCACAGAAACAGGGTCGGTTGGAAGCCACGAGGCCGAGATATGGAAGGAGGCCTTCCTCAAATCTGCAGACCCCATGGGCACGTTCCTGTTGACCAACTTCCCAACGGCAAGCTCCGCCACCTGGCGACAGCGATTCTTCGGGATGTCGTCCTTTGGTCATTTGCATCGCCTGTTTGAGAGGTGAAGTCCAACACCGTGCGAGACCAGCTCTCTGTCGTCGAGTCCGTTTCATCTCTGGCAGGCAGGGATGTGCATTCTGAGATGCTAGGAAGGTTGGCACTACCGGCAGGTACACTTAGTTCACTTAGTTCAGTCAGGGGTGGACACCCTCTCGCTGTGAGGCATTCTGCACGTCAAGCTGGGAGCTGCAGCCTTCGCATCATTTTGTGCCCTGCCTGGTGCACCTGTGATCATGTGCGCCAGCCTTGCACGAATAGCTCACTGCTAGCCGGTGTCGGGTCAGAGCCATAGCAGCATGGGCTAGCAGCGACGGGACCAAACAAGCCGCAACAGCGATCGAGGCAGCACTGACGACGAGAAGCTCGAAGTCTATTCGGCCTTCGATGCTCAGGCACCGGGATTCGATCTCAAGTGAGCTAGAGTGAGGCGATATGCAACTGTTCTGCCGCTGCGAAGCTGCAGCCACTTGAAGTTGGTTTGTGTAGCGCAGTGTTGGCAAGCAAGTACTTCGGGAAGCCTCTGGCATGGGTGCAGGTGCACGATCAGACCTTGGCACAGTTTGGCCCCGGACGGATTACGGAATGCATCCTGGCACGGAGACCGGCTTTGGTGTCAGCATGCTGAGACACATGTTGGATCTTGCTGGCCGAATGCTGATGCTTTTGCTAGTTTGATGCTTGAGGCTTGCTGAATGAAGCAACAGACAGCTCCACTGCTGCTCAAAAAGTCGCGGCGCAGTTCTTCAGCTCTCAGGCACCGTCAGTTTCTCTTGACTGCGCATCATGCCACTCTCCCTTGCCAGGCCAAAGGCAACGCGTGAGCCGCAGGCGAAACCGCCCGCGATTCCCGTGGAGACCGTAGAATTGTGACGCAGACTCAGACATGCATGCACTTAAACGGGGCGAGGTGGGCATCGGCAGCAACACGTGTAACGTAAAGCCAGTGTAAAGCCTTCGCAGCTGGCAATAACCGGCAGATGTGGCATGGCAAACTATGGGCGTACGAGATTAGGGACAGTGGTGATTCCCAGTCATGGCATTAAAGGGACATTTTGACATGAAGCCTGATGAAGCCTTCAAGAGCTGATGCAGCCCCAAAGTTTCACTTTATTGCACTCGCGGGCCAGTGCCTTGGTCGTGGACTGAGCTGCTGTTGCACAGACTTGGGGAACGTGGTCCACCCTGCCTGCGTTCAGTCTGTATTCTGGCCTGAGGCAGCTTGGTGAGCCCGACCCGGTGGGCCAAGGCCTTTCAGGAACTTGTCAAGTTTGGGCGCTGGACAGCCGAAAAGTCGGTCCGCGCGCTGATCCGGTGTCTGGTGGGGTATAGACGCAGCTAGGGCCGGAGATGTAGTCTGAACGTCGCAGACACTGGAGGGATTTTGATTCAGTTCTCTGCGCGGGCTAGGTCTTGGCCGTTGCCAAATTCTTCGAGCCTATTGGGGAGGACTTCCAGTGCGTATCTTATTCCGAGAAGCTTGAGGGTAAGGCAGTGACGGCGCACGGCGCGAAACCTCCAGCCATTTTGCCTAGGCCATAGCAATCTGCCGTGGCCTAGCAGGCCTAGCAACTTGGAAGCTTCCTTGAGGACCTGGACGAGGCTGGCGAGCGCTGGACAAAGCGTTCGTCCAGGTCCCTCTACGACGATCCTGATCCTCCGGAACCGTGAGTTGCGGTTGCTGCTCTTTAACTGCAGAACACTGCAGAGCGTTGCACAGCACAGCTGCACAAGAGCCAAGCTTTGTGATTCAACTGCTGGCTGTGCGGATACTGCGGAGATTTGCACACTAATCGCTTGAACTTGGCAGAAAGCCATCCAAGTTTACGGTTGCATGTGGGCATTCAAGGGCAAGTGGCAATTTTCTGCTACGTCCATCTGTTCGCTACGTGCGATCGCGCCGTCTGCTGAGGCCGAACTCAGGACTCACACGGTCCAGCAGGGCCCGGAGCCAGAACGCCGTGAGGGGCCCGGCGCGGGCTGCAAGCTTCTTAGAGTCTTTAGAGCTTCTGTTGCTGTTGGCTACAGCCTCAAGGCATCCTCTCGGCCAAGCTTGCAAGTAGAGGTTGCCGGTGTCGATGTGACAATATCCACACATCTCAGATTCGTCTTGAAGCCTGAGTGGCACTGCGTGGCCCAAGGTGTGCAGAACCTGCGAGTCCATGTTGGCATCCTTCAGCGCCGGCCTCGTGATCTCCATCCGAAGGCATATATATATATATAAGGACACATGCGCGGTAGTTACGAAGATGCTGGCTTGGAGATGCGAGTATGTCGGAGTTTTGTGTTCAGTAGAACGCATGCAGGAGGAAGGCACGAGATTTCCGGAAGACCCTTCCGACGGGAATTTTAAAGTTAGGCAAGTAGCTTCATAGCACGTGGCCGAGCATTGGCCCTTGAGCATTTTTGGCTTTTTGGTTTGAGGTGTTTAGGCCCTTAGGCCTCAGGCTCATCATACAGCTGGACCTCAGTACGGGTTACAAGACGGGCCCGGACGGGCTTGGGCTCGCTGGACGGCACTCAGAGCCCAGCTGTGCAAAAAGAGCTCGGTTAGGTGGCTTAGGATTAAATGCTTCAGGGCTTAAGGCTTTGAGGCGGGCCTAGCCCCGGATGCAAAAACGACTCTGGGTTCAGAGAGAGATCGTCTGGGATTTTGGGGTTCAAGCTTTTAGGGCTTAGGGTTTGGGGTGCTCCTGCGACCAAGTCCTGACGCGACACAGGGTATTGGAAGGGTTGAAGCAAAGAGAGAGGATTTGAAGATTGGAAAAAATTAGGGTCTTTAGTGAGGGTTTAGGGCCTTTAGTAGTTTAGGACTCTAAGCAGCTGATCGGCCGAGTCCGGGGTCAGACTGGCAGGTTGGCGCTTCCAGTACTACTACTACAGAAAAGGACCTTGGAGTCGGTCCTTTTCAGTTTGTCCCCCCCCCCCCCCCCCA